AAAAAAAAAAAAAGAATAGTACAATCATCAAAGGCATATAAATGCAAGAAAAAGGGCCCGCTGTGATTTAATGTTTTGGAAGGGAGTAAGGTGGAGGAGGAGCAAGATGCCAAATTCTGTCATCATGAATAACTAGTACAATACCCGTGTATTACACGGGTGCTTGTTAAAAAATTATTTTTAAATTTTAAAATTAATGAAAAAATTATATTAAATTTAGTTTACTTTTTTACAGAAAAAATATATTACTCTATATTTTAAAATGATATGTGTTACTTATGAATTATATGTGTTATATTATATTAGTTTTTATAACTTATATTATATAACTACTTGAAATATAAATATATTAGTTGATAAATAATTTTATTTTTCTAATTAATATTAAATATAATTTTATTATTGTTGAAAGATAAATATAAATTATTATTTTTTATACATATAATATGGATGTTAAATCGAAGCTTATCAAAACAAGATTAATTTGATATATTACATATGTAAAACTGATAAAAAATATAAAAGTTATTAACTTTTAAAATATATATAAAATTCAATAGTTATAATAAGGAATGATATTAAAATGCAATTAATACATGTAACATAACCATAAATAATCAACATTTTTATGGTAATCCGAACCTAATTATTTTTTATTTGGAATTAAATAAAAATTACTCAAGTCTAATAACGAAGTATGTAAGTTTGCCACATAAGATTCCGAAGTACCAAAAGCAGCCACGTAGGCTCAGCGCGTTCTGGATTAATATATAGGGGCGATAGGGGCGATAGCACATAACTTTCGATTTATTTATTTAAACAAAACAAAAAAAAAAAATATTGGACACAAAAAAAAATGGACAAAAATAAAATACACGTACTTCGGTAATATGTTTTTCATTGGAGACGTTTTCTCAAAAATAGGTTTTAGCTTAGAGAACATATTCTAAGAATACGGTTAAGATTATAATAATTAAATAATGTAATTAAGTTAATTAATCTTAATTAAAAAGAGTAAAACATATAATAAAAATACGTTTTACATTAAGAAAATGCATTATGCAAATATGTTTTACTATTAAAACATATTCGTGAAATACTTTTTAATATTAAAATTAATTTTAGAATTTTGAAAAACAATATTTTTTGCAAAAAATAATTTTTTGAGAATGTACAAAGTATTGTGAAAATACTTTTTTTTATTTTATTTTATTTTTGTCCCAAATCAATTATGTCCTATACTGAATTTAATTTCTCAGTAAAACGTATTCAGGGGATACGTTTTTCTTAATGTTCATAAAAAAATTACTATATAAACCTGTTCAAATAAACTTGTTCAACAAACTCATATCTATCAATTCGCCAAAAAATAATCCAATATACACTATATAAAAAACGATCAACCACAATAATTTATTCAAGAAACACTTTATACAAAAAGGTCAGAATACCGTTTATAAATACAAAACAAATATGTCCACAAATTTAATTGCATACAACACAAACTAACTAGGAAAGAGTGTATGGATTCGGAGCTATGCGCTGTCGGGACCCCTTCCGAGGCCTTGGTGCTGAAAAAGACGAGGCTGTTGTGTTCGTGATAGGTGTGGCAGCTTCTTCTTCTTCACCTGAGTAATTAATTTTTTTAAAAATCATAAATTCGACTGGATAAAACAAAAAAAATAATAAAAAAATATTATTTGTTAAGTAAAAAAATCTTACCTTCTTCGTCTTCCTCAGACCCGGTGTTGGCAGCGGGTTCACGGGCACAACGTCTTCTACCTCCACCAATTTTGGCAGTTGGTCGATGCCTTGCCCGGTGTGACTGTTTCCTCTAGGAAGGGACATAGTCTTCTTGAGATAGAAATTGATTGAACGACGCCCCTTGTTTGACCTCTTGGCCTCCAACAGTCATAGAACTGTAGGGAATGTTCTAGGCATGTTGGAATGCGGTCTGCACCTCTGGAGGGACTGTATCCATAAAGTCGTGAACACTCTGTAACGTGGTATAAGCCCCCTCCATGATACCCTACTGAAAATAAAATTCAATTTAATAATATGAAACACCAAAAAAAAGTAATAATAATAATAATAATAATAATAATAATAATAATAATAATAATAATAATAATAATAATAATAATAATAATAATAATCACAATGTATGAACTTACGTCACACTTTTCCCGCTCAGCAATTGGCTAATAGCTATCGTCCTGCTGCACCACCGGATAGTTGTTAAGGTTACTGATTAGTCTTACAGGCTTAATGTTAAACCAATCAATGTAACTTTCCTCAGGCTGTAGGAATGTATCCAAAGGTTAATCTGGGAGGACATTTTGGTCTCTTTGTTCGCCCCAAGTCTTTACAATCTCCGAATAAAAGTCGACCCAATCAGTAAATGTTCTACCAGTCATTCCCCTGGCTTCGGTGGTGTGTGTCCCATTCGGCCAAACCCCTAATGATCGGAGTTTATGGGATGAACTGGCAACACTTAAACTGACGGAGGACCCTACCAGGACTGGCGACCCTTTTGATTTTGGTCCACTTTTTTTTTTCCACTTAATTTTAGTTTTTTTTTTTTTTAAATATATAAAGCATCCCATAACTTTCGAACTTTAATTTTTACAAGTGCTAGAAAGGGAAAAAAAATGTATAGAAAAAATATACCATTGTGTTATAAAAACGGGAAAAATAAAGAACACAAAATAGACACCGGATATAGATTATACTGAATATTTCTCTTCTTCTACAATGAGCAATTTTTCACTTCATTTGCAATGCCTTTTATAGGCAAATTCTACCGACAATCCTACACAAATTATTCATTCCCCCATACCTCATTTAATATGCCCATTCCTCCAATAGTGAATGTCACTATTTTGCATAGTGGTTCATTTCACACATTTCTAACACTCCCCCTTGGAATAACCACTATGCAATGTGCGTTTATGCTGCCTCATTAGAAACCTTATCCGGAAAAACCCTGTGGGAAAAAACCGAGATAAGGAAAAAAGAGTACAGCCGCACATGCTCCCCCTCGAGTTATAATCCGTGTAAATCTCGAAGATGTCTCATTCCAATGTTATGGACATGCTTTCGGAATGTTGTAGTTGGGAGCGCCTTTGTAAACAAATCGGCTGCGTTATCACTTGATCGGATGTATTGAACCTTGATTTGTTTGTTCCTTTCAAGCTCTTGAGTGTATGAGAAGAACTTTGGTGGGATATGTTTAGTTCTGTCACTCTTGATGTATCCTTCTTTGGTCTGAGCGACACATGCTGCATTGTCTTCGAATATCACCGTCGGGTCTTTATTATTCGAGAATCCACTGGCCTGTTGAATGTGTTGAGTCATGTTTCTGAGCCAGATGCTTTCTCTAGTTGCTTCATGCAGTGCAATGATTTCAGCATGGTTTGAAGATGTAGCAACTAGTGTTTGTTTCTGAGAACGCCAAGAAAATGCAGTTCCACCAATCGTGAAAACATAGCCAGTCTGAGATCTCGCCTTATGTGGGTCTGATAAATATCCTGCATCTGCAAAACCGATCATTTCATGTTTTTTATCATTTGAATAAAATAATCCCAGATCGATTGTTCCTTGGAGATAACGGAATATATACTTGATTCCATTCCAGTGTCTCCTCGTAGGTGACGAGTTATATCTTGCTAATAAGTTGGTAGCAAAAGATATATCTGGTCTGGTGCAATTAGCAAGATACATAAGAGCCCCTATTGCACTCATATATGGTACCTCAGGACCAAGTACTTCTTCATTTCCTTCACATGGTCGAAATGGATCCTTTTCAACATCCAATGTCCGGTTAACCATCGGAGTGCTAAGGGGATTAGCTTTGTCCATATTAAAACGTTTCAGTACTCTTTTAGTATAGTTAGATTGATGGACAAATATCCTATTTTGTACTCTCTCTATCTGTAAGCCAAGGCAATATTTGGTTTTTCCGAGATCTTTCATTTCAAATTCGCCTTTCAAAAATGTAACTGCTTCTTGTATTTCATTTGCTGTCCCAATAATATTAAGGTCATCAACATAGACAGCTATTATCACAACTCCATTATGTGATTTCTTTATAAAGACACACGGACATATTTGATCATTTAAGTATCCCCTTTTTAATAATTGTTCGCTCAAACAATTATACCACATACGCCCGGATTGTTTCAAGCCATATAAAGATCTTTGCAACTTTAACGCACATAACTCTTTAGGTTTGGAGTTCAGTGCTTCGGGCATTCTGATTCCTTCTGGGATTTTTATGTATATGTCGGTGTCTAATGATCCATACAAATAAGCAGTTAGAACGTCCATGAGACGCATCTCAAGATTTTCATGGACAGCTAAACTCATCAAGTATCTGAAAGTAATTGCATCCATGACAGGGGAATATGTCTCATCATAATCGATCCCAGGCCTTTGGGAAAATCCTTGTGCAACAAGTCGGGCTTTATATCTCGTGATCTCGTTTTTCTCATTTTTTTTTTCTGGTGAAAACCCATTTGTATCCAATAGGTTTTATGCCTTTTGGTATAATGGAAATAGGCCCAAAAACTTTTCGTTTATTGAGTGAATCTAACTCAGCTTGGATGACACCTTTCCATTTATCCCAATCACGTCTTTTTTGACATTCAGCTACAGATTTTGGTTCAGGATCCTCAACTTCATTATCAATTTCTTTCGATACCATATATGCAAATGCGTCATCAATATTCATGATCTCATTACGCTTCCAAAGGTTCCCATTGTTTACGTAGTTGATGGAAATTTTAATATTTTCATTTTGTCCCGAAATTTTTCCATCATCCTGATTTTTTTTCAAATTTGAGTCAAGAATTTCTC